GGAAGAAGTTAAACTGTCATTATTTGCTGATGATATGATACTCTACATAGAAGACCCAAAAAAACTCTACCAAAAGACTTCTTGACTTAATTGACACTTTCAGCAGAGTAGCTGGATACAAGGTCAACACCCAAAAATCAATAGCCTTCTTGTACACAAATAACAGACTCACTGAAAGAAATTAGGGAAACAATTCCTTCCACAATAGCACCCCAAAAAATAAAGTATCTGGGAATTAATCTAACAAAAGAAGCAAAAGATCTCTACACTGAAAACTATAGCACTCTGAAAAAGGAGATCAAGGAGGATATAATAGAAAGATATCCCTTGTTCCTGGGTAGGAAGAATCAACATAGTGAAAATGGCCATACTACCAAAACTGCTATACAGATTCAGTGCAATACAAATTGAAATCCCAACACTATAACTTCACAGAACTAGAAAGAAGAATCCAATAATTCATTTGGAACCATACGAGACCTAGAATAGCAAAAGCCATCCTAGGCAACAGATACATGGCAGCCGGTATAACAATTCCCAATTTGAAAATATACTACAAAGCCACTGTGATAAAAACAGCACGGTACTGGCAAAGAAAAGACCTGAGGATCAGTGGAACAGATTGTAAGGCACAAAAACCATTCCAGATGCACTCAACTACCTCATCTTTGACAAAGGAGCTGACAGTCCATGGAAAAACTGGATCTCAACCTGCCAAAGATTAAAACTAGACCCCCCCAAATATAAAGACCCAATTCTAAAATGGGCACCTGAAATGAACAGACATTTCTCAGACAAAGAAATAAAAGCAGCAAGTAAATATATGAAAAAATGCTCCACATCACTGGTCATTCAAGAGATGCAGATGAAAACAACACTGGATTCCACCTCACCCCCCAAAGTATGGCTGCTATGAAGAAATTACACAATAACAAATGTTGGCGGGGTTGAGGGGAGAAAGGAACCCTTCTCCATTGTTGGTGGGAGTGCAGACTGGGGCAACCACTATGAAAGTCAATATGGAGATACCTCAAAGAACTAGGATTACAGGTTCCATTTGACCCAGTCATCCCTCTGTTGGGTTTTCCAAAAGAATTAAAAGAATCATACCACAGTGATATACGCACACCCATGTTTATAGTGGCAGTTTGTAATAGCTAAAACTTGGAAATAGCCCATCTGCTCATCAGTTGGAAACGATAAAGGTGGTTTTTCTATAAAATGGAATACTACTCAGCCATAAAGAATGAGAAAGTGGATTCATTCATAGGTAAATGGGTACATTTTGAGGATATACTCCTAAGTGAAATAAGTAAGTCACACATATGCAAAAACCGAATAGTTTCTCTGGTGTGAAAAACTAAAATAGTACTTAAGATCCTAACGGGACAATTAGCAACATGAAATAAGAAGAAAAAGGACCAAAGGTGTAGGGACAGTGAGAAGGATAGGGAAAGGGGAATAAGGGAAAAGGAAGGGTACATTTTGAGGATATACTCCTAAGTGAAATAAGTAAGTCACACATATGCAAAAACCGAATAGTTTCTCTGGTGTGAAAAACTAAAATAGTACTTAAGATCCTAACGGGACAATTAGCAACATGAAATAAGAAGAAAAAGGACCAAAGGTGTAGGGACAGTGAGAAGGATAGGGAAAGGGGAATAAGGGAAAAGGAAAAAAATATGTGAGAATGTAAAAATGGAATTAAAGTGTTTGAAGGTGGGGAGGGGAGGAGGGGGTGAAGGGAGGGTGGGGACAAGGGGAAAAAATGAGAACCAAGACCTGGCATGTAAAGGTACAAGATCCCAGTAATGAATGTAACTGTACTGTCTACCTAGAATGTACCAATAAATTTAATTTAAAAATTTTTTTCCATATTAATATTGACCTGCACTTTGTATAAATCAAGGTAAGTCATGACTTCTACAGATATGAAGCAATAGCTCTACATTGTTTATTGAATACCTACATGCCAGGTGCAGCTAACCTCATCTTCAACCCGAGAGCTGTGGGTCCATGTTCGGCTGCCTGCACAGACCCTGACAGATGCCTTATGCTCTACACCAAGATTAAGGCGAGTTAGAATCACCTTGTTTGTACTCTATACATAACACTTCCTCTATTCTCTTCAGCTCTTTCGTGCGTAGTACTAGACGTTTTTCGGGCTTCCATTTTAGCGTACCTCTTGCCGGGAGTTTCCTTCTGGGAGCACTCACTTACTGGATTTGGAAAGTGATTCAGCTTGCCTATCATGACTGGTGACCATGTAGGGGCTCAATGACAAAAGATGGCATCCTCTTTGACAAGACTGCTTAGGAAGTGATTGTGTACTATTACAGCAAGGAGTATAAGGCTTACTTGCAATTATAAATAGCGACCTCAAGCTTCAGAGGTCAAATATCAACTAAACTTACTTATTCAATAATCAATTTTTTATAGTAAGATGCTTTAGGGCAGATAAGAACTAAACTTTCTGCGATTTAAAAAAAACAATCTAGTTTCCTCCTTTAAATTTCCTCCTTGATATTAAACAAGTCTATCCCCAATTCCTGGCAGCACCTCACACAGACCTACAAAGTAAAAAACCATTATGTGTTCTCTGGGAGATTGGACCAAATGACAGCATTCCAAACGCATTGGAAAAGCAAGTGATTGCTACAATTTCCAATTTCATTGAGATCAGCTTTAAAAGATTCTACTTGCGAGATGCCCTCTAAGTGACAAAACCCATTTCACCATAAAAATTGTCTCTGTTTAAAATACTAGTTAAATATTAAAAAAGAAATTAATTTAGCAATTTACCACTTTGATGTGATGAGTAGGGCGAGGTAAATATACAAACTGAAGTATAGAATTTAATTTTTTTTTATGAAGTATTCTGAAATCAAGGACGGTAATACATGCATCAGGCACATTCAACAGAAGACTTTCACAATGGTTTACATTTCTTTTTTATTTATTCCTTGAAACTGCCCATATTGCAGGTTTCTCATGGGTGAAATATGGACTGAGCAGATTCTTTTTTTCTACAAAATTATGGTATAAACTTGCTCGATTTTCTATCTTATTGCTAATAAACCTTACAGGCGCACAGTTTGTAAAATAAACCCCTTAAGGACTGAATGTGTAGAGCATGCTGCAAGGTATGAGAGATAACTAAAAATGAGCATATAAAACTACATCTGGACCAACACAGTACTGAATGCTGGCAAACATTTATCACGACACAGGGGAAAATTAATAAAAAGAGATACAGTTCAGTCCGTGAAGGGTTAAATAGAAACCCTAATATATTATTGTTTCTAACCATCCATCCCACATTACAGTGCTTGAAAACAAGGTCAAAAGTCTGGCACAAAAAATTATACACATTTGTTCAGTACTCATCAGAAACACAGCTGCTTGTGAAATCAAAGTACTTGATTAATAACTGTAGGGCATTTTGTCTCAAAAAGGAACCCCTCCTCTTACGGGGTTTTCTGGTTATCTTGAATAGTTAGGTTAGTTCTCAAAGATGGCATCAGAATTTTCTGAGTACACAGATGGTACCAGTTTCATCAAAAACAAAGGCAAAAGAACTTAAAAGTTATGATGGCAAATGAGTCTGCACAGTAAGAGGTGACAAGTATTTCACCAGGTAACTCTAGGTGAGGGCACCCTTAGCTGCCACAGTTTAAGAAAGTCAGCAGCAAGTCGAATACTGTACTAGTGTTCAACTCTAAAATCATTCAAACTACAAAGGGCATTCTATTTTAGCATTTTTAGCTTGCCTTCCCAATGTATGTAACAAATGCAATGAAACTAGTGAAAACATGTTGAATCACAAGCTCAGCTTCTATACCTATTTGAGAAATTGTACAGAATCGGGAGAAAAGATATACTTCTAAAACACAATTAAAAAAAAATCAAAGGTACTGTAAATATCATTCTCCTTTAAGAGAATCTCTGTAAGGGTAAATGGCCAACATATCTAATAATGCCATCATCAGGGAAGAATATACTCTAGATACGAGGAGGGTAAGACGCTCAGAAATTATACATTGAAGTATAAAATGATTCTCAAATACACAGATTTTTCTCAAAGCAGCTGACAAAAGTAACTACCGATGAACAAGAAACTACAACAGATGTCATCTCACTCTTCGGTCTGTGGTATGAGAAAACGGCATAAAATAGATGGGAGAAATGCTTAGATTGATACATCCCTGGTTTTCCAAAAAAGAAAACAGAAAAAGGGTTTACAGTCTAACATTCCAATTATCTTATTAGAAGAAAAAAAAGAACTAAAATGATATAAACACTAGAAAGGACAAAAGTTCATTTTTATAAAGCCATGAACTTGGAAACTTATTTGACCTATAAGCTCAGTAAGGAATAGTTTATTCTTCAAAAAGCATCTCATTTGTTAATGGTTAATTTAATATGATTTCTTAACTAAATACCAAATCAAGAAATGTAGGAAACTTGTGGCCCACTTAAAAAAAAAAAAAAAAAATCAAGCAGCACTGAGAACGTCTTCACACTAAACAAAAAGCACTGTGTAATGACTATTTCCGTAACTCAACAGAGAATAAATACTACTCAAAAAAGCAAGTCTGCAAGTAACAGCCAGTGAGCAGTTACCACAAAGAAAGATAAGGCCACAATGCGTTCTGCCCTGATCACTAAAACCGATTTAAGGTGTGAGGCAGGATTCGATTTCCCGAGGAGTAACGGGAGCAGATTTGAAGAGAAAAGGCTATTTATAGTACAACGCAGCCTGGGTGATTAAAAAGGCTTGCAGTAAGAGAAAACTGCAGTAACTTTGATTTAACCACCTCATGTGTTTTACAAATGACTTTCCCCTTGAAAATCGAGGAAAAGGCAATTTAAAGATATGAGGAAAAGTATTTACAGTGGCACAGTTTAAAGGAAGGAGTGAGGGATGAAGATATGAAGATGAAAAGAAAATGCCCCTAAAAAATGATTTGTAGGCCAGGGATTTAGCTCAGTGGTTCCTCTGCCTGCCTCGCTAAGTGCAAGGGCCCGAGTTTGATCCCCAGTACCAAAAAAAAAGAAACTCAAAACAGCCCAGGACACTAGCAAGACACTGGGAACACTAGAGAAGTTACAGTTTTGCATTCTTAAGGTACTTGTGGCTCCTGTTTTATGGGACAGTAAAAGCTTACCACAATCTAGAGGTAGTTTTTACTCTAAGAAGGATGATTGTATCACTAAACTGTGTCCTGTAATGTTACACACACAGTTCCTGTACTAATGTTGCTCAATGAGTTTGCTGCAATTTGCAAGAAACTGAACAAAGGTGTAATAACCACAGTGTGGGAATGGAAGCAAAACTGGTGAGATAAGCACACAAGGCTGTGCACAGCCCTGAATGCAACCAAACCCTAACTGAAAAGAGAACGCACACTTCCTAAGTGGGGACATCAGTAGAGACACTCAGGACTGGGGAAGAGAGAACAAAGAAGGCAGAAGAAAAATGGAAATATAAGTTACATTTGCATTTTTATAATCTTCCAACCATCTCTCCCCCTAAGGTACTGTTTTCCAGCTATTCTACTTAATAAAAGCATCTTATGTTTCAAGATTACAATGATGTTCTGGCCTAGGCAAAAAAAAAGTAATACAACATATTTTGCTGAGATTTTCCTCATTCTACTGGAAGGGCACCATCTACCACTTTGTAGCAAATACTTCTCATGATTTTTAAAAATCATTTTCCAACAAGGCAGAAGAAGACACCCTGCTGAATAAAATCACTGGGAGCACTCCAAGTTAAAAAACAAAACAAAAAAAACAAAGTTTAACTTACACATAATACAAGTTATACACAACATTAGCAGGAAGGAAAAACTGAAGCAATTCTGGAACACACAGATGTCTTCTGTTTGGAAAAGGTGAGCGGACACTCCAAATTCCAACAAATTCTGTGCCATTAACTTGTTAATGACTACACAAACACACTGAATTCCATGTGAATGTTAGAACTTCTTGGATTACCACTATAAATACATTTAAAAAAAGGAAAACACAAATAACTGCCAACGGTGACTAAAGAAGGAGACTAAGTTAACATACATTGCATGTATTGCAGGCAAGGCAGAGGCATTGTCTTTAAAGCTTTTGCATGGACTTCATATAATCTTAAAAAACATATGCAGACCTTTACAAGATTTGAATTGCTGAAATCAGAACAATTTTGACTCATGAAAAGTCGGAAGACTTCAGCTTTAAAAAAAAGTTCCAGCCTTAGACCAAAGAACCTGGAAGGGGATGGTAATTTATTAAACAAGCATGGTCAAGCTTGGAACCCAAATGTACTTCAGAGCAAAAGCTCAAAGAGGGCAGGGAGAACAACCTATTTGGTAACAAGATGTACTATATACTGTGATATAAAAAAAGGTATGGTGAAAATGTACCTTTTACTAATAAAGCTTATATAAGTTCCTTGGTCCATAAAAACTATGTTAGATTTTTGTCTTCTAGTTTGCTTAACTTTTATACCAGCCACGTATCTATTTTTTTGCTCATTTAAACAAAATCAAAGAAAAACCAACCAAACAGTAACAACAACAACAACAATAACAACAAAAAAAACAGCTGAAAAACTCAATCTCCAATAGTTTGTACATTTTGATGGGTTTTGTTTTGTTTTGTTTTACTGTGGCTTCTGCATCTCAAATCAGCACTTGCAGGTAACAGGGTTTTTGAATAGTATCACTTGGTACGAAAAGTTTTCCCAAGAAACCACAAAAGATTGTTCACTCATTCTTTCGTTTTTTTGACAACTTTTTGCTGCACTCAGGTCAGTTTAAAGTCCTAGCAAAAAGACGGTGGTTAGGACACCACAGTTGCTGTAGATGATGTGACGCTGGTTGAATTTGTGCTGGCATTTGTGTAACTCCCCTCGCTGTTTGTGTTTGATTCATTGGCGGGCACTTGGCTTGAGCTGGCTCGAAGGATGGCTCCCGCAGCACTGCAGTGCGGCCTCGGCCCTGGCTCTGGCGTGTAGGTAAAGGTAAGGCTGGTGGAATAAATGATCCCGTCATTGCGGACCAAAGTTACTGGAACCTGGACTGGCTGCCGGACCCACCTCCAACCTTCTCGGAATGCAGAAATATCTGGGACGACACAGAGCATGCTCTCTCCACATCTGAGGAGAAACATAAATCATTTAAAACCATTTTAAAATGTTAAATACATTCCAGAAATGGGACAAGATTGTTAAATGCCTAACAGTGAAGGTCAGGAAACAATCTCATGTACCCACAAGCCCCTCAAAGCCTTAGGTAATGTAAAAAGTTTTATCCAATACCTGTACATAGTTTCAGCTTCTACATCCCCAAACCATACTCGTAAATTTGGAGTGAAATTCTGTCCTGTAAGTTCAAGCATTGCTACATCCCCGCCGCCATTCAACTGCAATTAACAGAAAATCACATTGAGTGAGAAACTTTTCAGGGAAGTACAAAAATTAGGTTCTCATTCAATTTTCATTTGTGACAGTTTGTGTAAGTTTAATTTGTAAATGTTTCTTTTAAGTGGTATAATTACAAAGCTAGCTAAAAATACTACTTCCAAGATGACGTACACGTTGATTTAACTTTCTCACATGTAAGGAACGTTGCTTCTATTCTCATTTTTATCAATAAATAATGTGCAACAAGATCCCCAAATCAAAACATTTGAAGAAAAACATCCAAATTACTGTGAAATGAAATTACACCAAGTCATAGCTGATAGCGTTTGCAAGAGTGAAAAGCTGCCTTGTGACCAAATGTCCTCACCTGAAGGCTTTCTACGACAGGCACAGGGGTGACTGGGGCAAGGACAGGGCCCATTCCTTCGTAAAATGTATACTCTGCCTTATCTGTGCTAATGATTGTCCACGAAGCTCCATCATTTATCATCTCTTTATTTGGTTCTTTCGGGCATGGAGTGGCCTTATGAAGAAAAAAATGTTCAGAAACTGGGTTTTATATATACCATAGTGTAAGAGAACTTAACAAATAACATCGGAGTTAACAAGAAGAAACTTTTGTAAAAAATTTCCATAAACTTCCTAACGTATGCTGCATTGCCAATCCCTAAGTAAATGTGAGCAGAATATTAAGGTGGAAACCCCACACCCCACAGATAGCAGTTTTTGTGATATATAAAATATTCCAGTGATGTATTAGCCACTAATAGCATACCATTACTGGTATAATTTCATCAGTAGGTCAGTATCTGAAATTTAAAATGGATGTTTAAAATTCTTCAGGTCCCTTAAGGAAGATCACAGGAGCCCTGAATGTTTCGAGAACAGCTAGATGCTAATGTGTTTTGAGCAGGAGGGACAAAGCCCTGAACTGGCAAGCTCTTACCCACGCTGTAATAAACCTGCACCAGGGACCCAGCAAGCCTGTCAGTGTGTGCATGAGACCACCTCTCGGGAATGGGAGCTTACAAAGGAGTTTCCTGTGTTTACTTTAACTATCCTATCAAACCATATAACCATGTCGTAATATAAAAGCCTTCTAAATTAAACACAGTTAAAATTTAGCTTCTGAATCATAACATTGTCATCTGAGGAAACTCAATTTGGTGAGCATATCAACCTCTCTCAGTAAAATGCTTTTCAATACAGTGCATGCACATAAATGCACAAGATTCAGTGAATGTCTACTTTTGGAAATTCTGGGGAGCCTCTGTTCCCCAGGTTAGGAACCCTGGAAGTGAATATTAACTGTTGCTCTGAGAACATTTTTGTAATTCTGAGTTCTTCCATGAGGTAGAGTCACCAGAATGTCCAAGGCCCGTGTACGTTAAGGAGCCTTAAACTTGACATACACATCAGAACACAGCCTCATGAGAATTTCATGATTGTAATCGATAGGGTGCAGCAGTCACTCACTCACTCACGGTACTAGCGAATGATCCAGGGCCTTTACCACTGAGCTACAGCCCTAGCCCTAGTGCGGATAAATTTTACCAATAATTGTAAAACCTACCTGAAATTGGATTATTCTTTCTTGAGAAAGGCACAAGTACATTCTTTCTGTATCCTTAAGGTAAAATGCACATTTATGTAGTTGTGACACAGGATCGTCTGCATCCAATAATGCTGTCTGCTTATCAACTTTCCTAATTATCTGTATTTCAACAATTCAAAAATTAAAACAAAATGGTCATCCACAATGAAGTTTTCATTCTGTACACTGTCAATGCACAGAAAGTATATGCTATATAATAATATGCCAGTTATCGGTCTTATACCTAAATTTAAGTATTTATAAAAGAATAAAAACTTAGTTTGTAAGTATGTCAGAATGTGACAGCTGCCACCCTCTTCCACGAACTTCTTTTTTGTAGTACTGGGGATTGAACTCAGAACTTTGTGCTTGTGAGGCAGACACAGCGCCACTGAACTTAATCCCTAACCCTTCCACAAACTTCTTTTTAAAAAAGGCACTTGTTTTCTAAACAAGCACCTTTCAAATATTAGTGCACATATAAACCACCTGGAATTGTTAAAAATATGGGTGCTGATAGGCCCTGTCCCTCCCTCTCACTAATCTTGTTTTTTTGTTCTCCCTCAGAGAACAGTCCTCTTCATTACTGCCCCACGTCTATGCTCTCTCCAGCCTCTGTTGAAAGGACTTATTAAACAGCACAAAAGGTTACCAAGGACTTCCAGACAAGTGAATCACACATGGCATTTCTTTTTCAGCAATATTTGACAGAGATTCTCCCTTGGGGGAAGCAGGGTAGCCCTACCTGACCTGTGTGCTGGACTAGACAGAAGGGGCTTAAGACTATCTGGAGAATGCACGAATCCCACCAAAGCCCACATGATGTAATGTTCTGCTCTGGAACCCATAACTACAACTACTCATGGAGTTTTGTGAGGAACAAATAAATCTACACAACAGTGTCAATAATATTACACAATACTATTAGCTTTCATTACTAGATTTGTCTTACTTATACTCAAAGATCATCTTGTTTTACCTAAGCCACTGTTTAAAGCCCCAATCTTTAAAGTTAATGGGGTTCATATTTACACATTTTTAGGTCTACACAACTTTTTTTAATCGAAGTATTTGTGATCCTACCAATACCAATTTTTAAAAGGGATACCTTATAATTTTAGTAATTAAGATAGTCTGTGAAACTAATTAAACTGAAGCAAAACATTTCAATTCAATACTGAAGTCTTAAAGTTATGTCTAAATTCAATGAAGTTGGATTTCAGAGAAATAACATTCTTCTTTAATGACCTGAGTCTGAAGCTGCCCGCATGTCTCAGTGCACTCCCACTTCTCCTCACAGTCTGTCTCTCTGTGCCCCACTGTTTCCCCAACAACCAGCAACAAGGGCCCCATTTGGCACAGTTCTTTGGACAGAGACACTGATGAATGACTGGCTCGCACCAATAAAGGAACAAAGACGTCCAAAGATGGCATCCAAAATTTGCTTTGGTATATGATATATATAGCGTTTTTTAGAGGGTAGATGGATACACCCTCTAAGGACAGCAAACATTTTATTCATATTCCTAACACTACCTGCCAAGCAAACACTGGCTGAGGTTAGCTTAATGGGTTGTTCAGCCAAACAGTTATCTTCGCTGTTCCCACCTGTGGAGCATCTGACAACCTTGATGAGCATATGTGGTAAATGGATAAGGGGTTTCTTGTTAGTTGTCTAGATTCACATGAACTATTTTAAGAGTACCCATTAAAAACAGGATTTTCACAAAGACTGAATTGATCCCAATGAAATTTGGTCAGGGAGGAATAGTATTTTCCAAGCAAAGCTCTCTAATAAAACTGATGTTCTGGTGAGTATTAAAAGCAATTTTCAGATAATAAGATAGGATTGTCTTTTTTTTTTTTCTCTTAAAGCACATGGGAACTAGCTGGGTATGGTGGTATATGCCTGTAATCCCAGCATTTAGAAGGCTGAAGCAGGATTGCCAAATTCAAGGTCAGCCTGGATTATATAAACAAGATACTGTCTTTTAAAAAAAGCATAGGAAGTGGTAGTTAGCGAACGTCGATGATTTTGAGGAAACTAGTTAAGAATTCCCCAGTCATGGAATTTCTAGAAAAATACAACAGAACATTAAGGAAGATACTGCAACTTTTTCCAATATGCTGTCTGATTTTTGTTGTAACATAATTAGAACCACACACATAGTTCAAGCAAGGCAGACTACTTGTACTTTGCATAAAACTGTAAGTGAAAAAGGTATTTTGAGATTATTATCTGTCTTTTACTACTTTTAAATGGTCTACACCAAGCTCTTGTGGATCAGGGGCATAAGAATCTGAATTTGTGCTTCAATAGAAGAAGAATCACAAATATCCTTGGAAAAGGGTGACACACAGTGAGTGAGAAGGGAACTACATTAAATGTTGATTTATGTTTGCTTCTTTTTATACCCATTCTTCCCTACACTTTTACACTTATTACAATTTGTTCCAGCTTCAAAATTTTACAGGTTAATTCTACTATACTTGATATATTTTGGCTTATTAAATTGAAATGGGATATATATCATCTTGTACAATCATGACATGGAAAAACAAAACAAAATGAAAATAAATAAATAAACAATTGACATAATTACTTAGACAACTATAGACCAACCCTGCCTCTGCTGAAATAACCCCTGAAAATATAAGGCAATGTAATACTTCACCAAAGAGAAATAGAAACCTTATAAAGGAACAGTTTGACTAAATGCTCTTCCCCTTGGCCCAATACCCTAACTTGACCTGGAATCAAGCTTATTCATAAATTCTGGTCGCCTTTTAGCATACAACTAAATTGTATTGTTTCAGAAAAGATAGACAGTTGTGAAGATTTTTGTTTGTATTTTACTAAGAAAAGCATTTTTACAGGGCCAAAATCTAGTGAACAAAAGTCCTAAATCCTATGCCTTTCTCTTAAAAAAAAAAAAAAAAAATCAGTTGATTGATTGCTTTTTTTTGAGACAGGGTCTCACTACACAGTCCAGGCTAGCCCTGAATTTGTTAATTGTCTTACGGCATTTCTGAAATTAGGTAAGGTACAATTATTAGTTTTAAGTAGTAGAAATAATAGACATTATCTTTCTAAGTTAAAAAGCATAAAATAGAGGTGTATCTTTGCCTCTCACTGCTGTGATTTTTCTGTTTTAAGAATTGTTATTTTTCATATTACTTCCGCAATAGCAGCGCCTTACCAATCTCGGGAGTGCCATGCCAGTAACTGAACACACAAGTTTGACTGTTTGTCCATAATGGATGTAACCATCTCGGACTGTGAATTCTTCTCCTTCTGATTCATCATCATCCACTATATTGGGTAGAAAAAGAGACCAAACTATCATCTTTAGAATTTATTACTGCCTAGAAAATAATAAACTTAACATATCCACATATCACATTAAGAAAAATAATTTTAAGAGTTTAACAATGCATATTTTTATACTCACAGAGATGAATGTAAAATGCTCCCCACTGCTGTGAACTGGCATGGAAATTACCTCCTTCTACATGCAAGTATCTGGTACTAACTGTCTGGGATCGAAGCCGATTAAACAAAGCCACCTTTGTTCCTGAGGCAATGCATACTGCAAAGAAAAAAGAGCACCTATTTATATGATTGGAACAGCATAGGAAAGGACTGCTGCTTGGCAAGTTATGCCTGTTCCTTATAATCTAACAATTAACAGATTATGGTGATAGTTTAACCCAAGAAAGTAAAGAAAAAAAAAGTTAAGGTAACTCACATCAATAATGTCAAGCTAATGACATATGATATGTATCTAAATTCAATGACAAGAAAATATCTCCCTGAAGTATCACTAAATAGAAAAAAAAAAAAAAACCTATAAAACATTGTTGTGGTCCCATTACAGAAATTTACTTTTGTATATAACTGCATGGATATCTCTACAAGTTTGCATCCAATCCTACAGAATACATATGTAGAAAGGGATCCAGAAGGATGTTTCTAAAGTTGACGGCAACTGCCTCTGCCTATTTTATTTTAGAGAGTACTGCTATCTCCTAAAAACAGAGGGACCTTGGTTCAGGAACTTAATTCTTTCTCCAAATTTTCTCAAATTTCCCCATAAGGTCAACAATAAACTTAATAACTGAATTTGTTATGGTTCTCATCCAATTCAGTTTGTGAACAGAATTGCAGAAAGAATTAAGTATGTGAACTGAGGAATCACTGTACCTCTACGTACTGTACAACATGAGAACTCATAAAATAAATATTATAAGTAAATATTTACTTTAGATGTGAAAAACACATCTACGTAAATTAGGAAAAACATTCTAAAAGCATCTGTTCTCTGTTATTGATACTAATATCCAATTCAAAGTTAAAACATGAAATAAAACTTTGTACTGTAATTTATGTTGAAAATACCTTGAATTATATTACACGCCTCCTGGTTTGTGGGACACTTGACCACCCATGACACAGTCTTGCCCTTCACCAACAAAAAGTAACAGACTTTCCATCTCATCAAGATTCTGGATAAACTCCACAAAGATTCTCTCTTGAAAAGAACAAGCTGCTCCAAACATTCTTCCCCACTAGTCTTCCCCTTTGGGCCCTGTCAATGGTTTGCAGAGCCAAGATGCAAGAAATCCTATCAGGTCCAACCCCTGACACACGAGTGCCTTGTCCTGCTTTTTGGCAAGACATCTGTAGGCAAAGGCAGTTTGGCAAGAATTCCCCTACCCAAGATGTGTCCTCTTAGTAATTTTTCCATTGACACATTTGCTCGACAGCTGTACATCTCATTTTACTCCAAAACTGAATGTAATTCTATACTTAAGCCTCTTTATCATTATTATAGTAGCACTGAATGAAATCAGACTTTTCACCTTTTAGTGTCCAACTCTGATTTTGGGGGCAAAAATCAACATATTTACAGTGAATGCATTAAATTATACGAAAGGAAAAAAATTAGCAAAATCTATTACATGAAATCTCTAAAGGCTAGGCTCCTGAATAAATAAAGTACAGGGGTCGGGCAAAGATTAAAGAATACTCATGGATATATCAATACTATGTGTGTATGTGTGTGTGTGTGTGTGTGTGTGTGTGTGTGTGTGTGCTGACTTCAATTTTGATTCAAATAAATTTTAAAACTAATGCTTTAAACAAATTTAAACTTAAATACTGGCTATTTGATACCAAGAAACAGTTCAGTCTTATAGTTGTTTTACATGTTTTTTTTTTGTGAGATCACAGTATTATGATTAGTATACACTAGAGACAGCCCTTTAGAGTCACATAAATGTCCAGTGAGGAGGAGGAAAGGGGCTGTGCTGGGGTACTGCTGATGAAATGATACTGCACTGAGGTTAAGACGCCGTTATAGCTGGGGATGAGCACAAGGAGTGTCATTTTATTATGCAACCCTGTCCCTTTATATGTCCCATAATATTAAGCGACAATGACAGGGTAGAATAAAATACACCCCCTTTATGAACCCATTGAGTTCATAATGAAACAAAATAAAAACAGAAAAGCTGATGCCTCACTGATCACTTTCAAACATTGCCATTATGCTGTTAGCAAACACGCATTTTTCTGTGTTTTCTCCTACTGCCCATGTTTTGAAGTAAATAACTGAAATGACAAAGTTCTTTGTAGTACAGCCAGCAAAAGTTAGGAATAAAAGATTTAGAAAATCACCATTCTGCATCCCTTCATGATGTAACAACTAGTGTAACTAGTAGGCATTACAGTCAGATTACACCAAGAGCCGAATTTACTATAATCAATCTTAACATGACCCTGCCACGAACAAAAATTGGATATCCACATTTCATATGATTTCTGATCTGATGCAAACAACCAGCTAAGTCATTTAAAAGTCTTTAGAGGTCTAACAACCAGTTCATGGTAAATATGAGACAGAGAATACATAATATGTGATAGTTGCTGCCAGAGCAACCATGTTTAAAAGTTTGTTTAGGTTCTCAGGATGGTCTTCCAAAGCCCACTGGATGTTTTGCAGAATGCTTTTGACATGCTGGGTGGATCAATTCTTTGTGGAACAGGAAGAAGCATGAACGCTGTAAGACATTCAGCATCACTAGCCCAAGACATCCAAAACAAACACTTCCCACCCCTTGGGTACTGTGACAACAGAAGTAAAAAATCTCATTTTCCCACATGTAAGGAAACAATTCTGGCTGAGAAACATCTGATTAAATTGGGTACTACCCTTTGTTCAATTATAATAACAACATAAAGAAGACAGTAAAAAGAGCCATAAAATAATAGTGAAGAATGAAATTACTAATGAAAAAGCAATTTTTCAACTTTAAAAAGTTTGTCATTAATTAATTCATAATAGGAGTTTGGGACAAATATGGAAACTCAATACGTACAGTCAGCATTTTTCAATGACTGCTTCTTCTTGGAAGGTTTGGAGATGACTTTTATACGCTTGCTGAGGAACACACCAATGTCATCGCTGTTGCCATAGAACATCTTTACAGATAACATGAAGTGTTTTCTCTTGTCTGAGTCAGATATGTACAATGTCTTGGCTGTGCAATAGTTCTGTGAAAGAAATGAAAGTTTTAGTAGCATCAAAATATTGCCTACTACTCAGAATCACTATAGCTAGGTTTGATGAAGCTTATTAAAATAATCCTAATGGATAGCTCCTAAAAGCAAATGAAAAAATTAGTGAAACTAATCTCTGCACAGAAAGTGAATGATTTTCCTCATCCGGTGTACACGACACCAGCATCACTGTGCGGTATATGACAAGGCTCTTCCTACACTGGCACTCAATGAGGACAAGGCTCAGAGACGATGCCCAATGAGAGCAGGCTGGGCTGAGGCAAGCACCTCCCAGGCATTTCTGGAGCTAGAGATGAACTCAGCCCTCCAGGAGTAGAACCCACTATGGGAAGGATGTTAAAGCTGGTGGTAGTTGGGAGGTTAGCACTGTCTTTGTTCCGGTTCCTCAATGGAAAACCTTCTAGAAAATTCAAGTCCAGCTAGTACAGAGAGAAGCATGTGGCCTTTACTGCTCAGAAGAATCTGCCAAAGGCAACCTGAAGAAGCAATTTGGAAGACAAGCAGTGTCCCAGGAGCACTCTGATGTGATCCGAGGCTCGTCCTTCCCTGGAAAAGTTGTAGGCAACTTCTCACATGAATCTGGACAGCAGCTGCCTTATGAAGGCTCCTTTGGACAAAGTACAGCAGAACAGTGGAGAACACAAGGGCAAGATGTCCTTCTGGTGTCAGTAAGGGGCTCATGGGCAAAGATGCTGATTTCGAAATCCCTGAGTTTCAGTTGTAAACAAAATGACTAATGTATTATTCACAGTTTAAAAACAAGTAAACAGAAGACTACATGATCCATTTACTCTCTTAAAAAGGCCATTTTAAGTATTTTTTGCTGGGCCTGGTGGCATACCTGTAAACCCAGCACTTGGAAGACTGAGGCAGGAGGACTGCCATGAGTTTGAGGCTAGGGTTACCTAGTGAGTTTAATGTCAGTTTGAATTATATAGAGAGACCCCATCTCAAAAAGTAAAAAAAAAATAAATAAATAAAATAAAGCAAAACCTAAGGTCTTCTTTTCTCCCAGCATCCTTGGAGGCTGAAGCAGGAGGATTACGGGCTCAGGCCCAGCTTGGTCAACTTAGCAAAATTGTTTCAAACTTAAAAATAAAAAAAGGACTGAGGATGTAGCTTTTAAGTTACAGTACTTGCCAAATAGCAAAGCACCTCATAATGCTACTATTTCAATTATATATCACAAATTCTAAAAACTTTACTATTCCCCTTGAGCTCTATAAATTAGAATCTATAATCCTATAGATTCCCATAAATATAAAATCCTAGGATTTATAAATCTATAAATCCTAAATTTTGACTTCCTTTTACAGATATGATAAATGATGTTCAAATTCAGTGCTAAGTATCCAAAATATTTTAACTCAAAGATTAGGCTAAATAACTATCTTCAAACACTTCTGTTTTATGTTCCTTTTAAAAAGCAAATGTCCATTTGGCTAGGGATTTAGCTCAATGGTGCCGCTTCCTGCCTTGCAAGCTCAAGGTCCTGAGTTCAAACCCCTGTACCAAAAAAAAAGCCCATTCATTTAGGAAGTAGTTCCTGAGGACCAGAGATTTAGCTCAGAGGTACTGCTACCTGCCTTGCAAGCACAAGGTCCTGAGTTCGAACCCCTGTACCAAAAAAAAAAAAAAAAAAGGGAA